CCTTTCCTTTCCTTCCCTTTCCTTTCCTTTCCTTTCCTTCCCTTCCCTTCCCTTCCCTTCCCTTCCCTTCCCTTCCCTTCCCTTCCCTTCTTTTGCAGCCATTTGGGTTTCCCTTCTTGTTTCTCAGTCGCTTTTGGCTATATGTTACAGTTTAAGTAATCATATTCCCATAGCACAGAACCTAGGGTTCAGGCAGTTTTGGCATCTCTTCTGTAATAATTAGCATCTTCCTACATGGTATTAGAAGACAAACAATTGAAGAAATTAGATGAACTATGAGTATACTTGAATCACCTTTGCTGAGATCATACAGGTTGGGGTAGCAGGAAGCTAAGGATGATGTGGTAATTTGAGAAACAGATACTGTCCAACCTCTTTTTACTTTCCAGACTTGCTTAAAAGTCTGACCTGAAATGCAGAGTCATCACCGATGTTATAATGTGGTGGGGAATATTCTGACGTTAGACATGTTTGAAGCTAAATTGCAAAATTAATTTTAAAAATGGTGCATTTGAAGAGCAGCATAATCCACAAAGCTCAAGGCAGCATATATGATTCTACTTCTTCCCAGCCTTTACCCAGTTTTGTCTATTACAACCTGGTGGAGTAGATTAGGCCAAAAATCAAGCCCTGTTCAGGCATTTGGGTGAATCTGTGAAGAACTCATAATGGAAGGAAAATGGGGCCATGGATACAGTTCTGCTCCTATTTCTCTGAGCTTCCACATGTTCACATGGGAGGTCTGAAGGAGTGCTGTAGATTCATTGGCTTGAACATAAGCACATTTGGAGGACCAAATGATTCAGGATCTAAATAAAGCAAGGCCCTGGGATGTTGTACCCATGTTCAAGAAAACAGAAGGGACTATTTTTACTAACAACTAAGTGGGTTTATATATGACATATGTCATGAGAGTTAGAAGCATAAAGGCTGCTAAGAGATAATGACATACAGTCTGAAACTCAGGATCAAATGGTAATCCCTTTTTTTTCACTTTTCAGTGTTCTCTTGCCAAAAATTTGGGATGGTTTTATTTTCTCACTTAAAAGTCTATAAATAATTAAGATCTAGACATCTTGAGCAGTTTCTTCTGACCATTAGCAGAAAAAATGAAATAATAATTTTGTAACTATTTTGTAACCTAGAATATTTTATCAGCTGACTTGGAAGATCAAGCAGCCAACATCTAAATCTCAGAGTCTATTACATGTCATAAGATATCTGTTGACCCATGGCCTCCACCTGTGGTTGGAAAAAAAAAACCCCTGGCCAAACCAGCTTGTCTATTGCAGAAAAATTTGGGAGCTGAAGCCTGTATTTCTGAAGGGTGCCCAGGTTAGGAAACTACCTTAGATATATCACAACAGAGTTTCTATTTTTTTAAACATGACTTCTTGGTAACAGTTTATTCGGTATATCTAGCTTTTTTTCTAGATTCAGCTATAGTCATAGGGAAAGTTTCATGTCTGTTACACCATTGTTACACATAAAAAAAGATTAATTAGAAAAGAGTGATTCTTCATTTACAACTTGGACAGTCAATGTTCATTATGCCTGTTTTTCATATTTCTTCTCCAATAACAAGCCAGCCAACTATATGTTCAACTGTGACTGCGTTAAAAACAGTTTTTATTTCTGTGTTTCTTCCCAAAAGAGATACTTAAGCCAACTAATAGAAATATTGTTTGCAATATATGTAATTTTTTGGCACTCTGTGCAGAGTAATGAGAGCTGGCTAGTATATAAATTAATGTAAATAGAAAAAAATCAGTAAACTAAAACCTTTTTTAAAGTAAAGGCTAACTTGCATATTTGGTTATATGGTATAAATATAGTAACATTTCTCTGACGCTTATATATAAAGATCTTTAGATGGCAGAGGTATACCTACTTGTTCTATTGTGACCTTGAAACTCTTGACTCTTGATGCCACCTGTTCTCAAACATGCCTTATCATTATCTGGAAAATATTTGTTTTTAAAAAACAAACATAAATAATTCTGAATTTATTTCAGTGTCTGGTGCTAGTGATATTTAAAGAAGTCTTCATGTTCTCTGAATAAAATTCTATGCAACACTAAATCAATATTGGTCTGAGGCTTATCTTAGAATTAAATCCCAATTTCAACACAAAAGAGAATGATTAACCAAAACTGGATAATTAGCTGAAATGGCAGCAGCAACCACTGAAAGTACTAGAAAGATCATCATTGGTCAAGTGTGAATGATCTAAAAGATGGTTACCAGAAAACACAGTGTGCCCTGATTACATCTCTAGATAAATAGTACTTCATGTTATAATATAGCCTCAGAACGATAGTCATGGAGCATAATCGTCTGGCAGAAAAACTATAATCAAGGAGCACAATAAATAGAGGCAAAGTTGCTTACTGGACAATGGCAACGTTGGCTAGTTAATCAGTGATCCTATTGCTGCTCAGTGGTCCCAGCTTAACACTGACAAGGCCTTGCTGTCCTTGAATTTCTTGGTCTTACAGCATGCACATAGCCAACTGTTTGGTAAAGATACACATCTGACCTCTGGGAGACTTACACAACCTGAAACTATCAAAATGGACTTGTAATTACACTGAGTTTGGGGGTGAGTCAGACTTGCATGTTACCAAATCCATGCAAATCACATGCAAGAATTGTCCCATTTACTTATTGAATATCATTTCCTGTTGAAATAGGATGACAAAGAGGGCAAAGAAATATATAGACCTTCAAAAAGCAATAACAACAGAGTAAAATAACTCAAAAACATTTCAGTCAGCCAGAAGAATATTCTGTGGAGAATCCCTTCAAGAAAGATGTTTCCCAACAGCCTACCACCAGTTAACACTGCAATATCTTGTTCAATTTCACAAGGAGATATTTCTATAGCTTCTGAGATGGGGTTATAAAACTCTAGCTTTTTGTATCAAATGTCTTGCACAATTGATGCCAGCTGAAGTAGGGCCTTGATGGAGAACGAATATGGGAGAAAGATAAAGGGGAAACTAGTGCATATTTTAAAAAATGAAACAGGGAATAGGAAGGGGAAGGCGACAATTATTCAGATGACAGCTAATGGAAACAAGAAGAAGCAACTCTTTTAAATTTTACACCGGAATTTTTTCTTCCAATGTAAATTCCATGTTGGGAGGAACAATTTTCATTAGGATCATAGTGGAGGCTGAGAGGTTAAATTCCCACTTGCATAACGATGACCTGCTGCTGTTAACATTTAATTTGCAGTTTTTAAATGCAAAGTTGTATTCGATATAGTACCTAAGTTTGGCCAACAGGCTTTCATGTATATGGATCCCAAACCATATAAATGTTTCAGCCATAAAACATGTATTATAGTAGTCTAATATGGAAATTGCAATTAAAATCACAAAGTTCAAGGAGGATGGAACTTTGAATAGAATTAATTCTCAGAAAATTGAGAATTCTCACAGCCATCTGCTCATTGAAAAGCAAGGCAGAATTTAATATAAGAACAATACTGTGAACCTGTTTTTCTTGCATTTTGTTATACGCTGTCTATTAATCATTAGAAAAGTCAGTAATGCGTGTTGGCAGAAACTTGCTTAAGACAAATGATTATGTTATGGGGTTTCCAATTCAAATCATGTCTATTTTTTCTGATTTCAACTTTAGTCTGTTTATCTTAGTCCATTTGATCACAACTTCCAAACATTGCTTAGATTCAAACATGTCAGGCTTAGAATTTTAATTTATGAGATATAGATCTAATTTCTTTGGCACTGTGACAGCACTCAGCTTCAAAACTCCAGTTGTAGCTATTAAATGTAGATATTAAAAAGCATTGGCACGAATCATGAGTCCTGCCTGACACCATGGGCAAACTTTGCACCGTATCAGGCAAAAAGATATTTGTCTGAACACACCTGTCAACATCCTTTCTGATGTTTCAATTGTTATGGGGAATGGCACAGTCTGAAATACTGGAAGCTAATGAATCCAATCAGGTCATCAAGGAAATACTTCCCATTTCAGACTCCTGGTAGAAATCTTCTACAGCTATCGATTGTAAAATCAGATACAAGCCAAACTGAAAATGATCAAGGAGGAACACATCATTTAATCATGCTTGATGTTGCTCTACTCAAAACAAAACAAAAACCCTAAGGTTACATGGTTGATGGGAGGCTAAGTCTTATTTAGAGATGGTTTGTTTTTTATAAGAACCGTTGGGTCTCTACACTCTGCAATGACTCTGAATAGGAATTTTGCCAGCAAGAATGCAGAAGATGGATCACGATGCAATTATCATCTCCTCTGAAGGGAAACATTCTGCAATTGCACTAATTGTGACCATGGGTATCTGTGGGGCAAATTATGACATGCGTGTCATAACATCTCCACATAAATGCTGCAACTTATATAGCCATAGCATTTACATGGTGACCTCATTGGGCGTATGTTGCCCTTCTGATGCCATCATAATCTGTTATAGTATAAGACACCCATTTGTGACAGTTCTTGTGCACCCAGAACAAATGAGAGTAAACTACTACTACTACTGAGAGAACCTCGAGCCCTAGGTGAAATATATCATTTACTATAAGCATTTTATTACAAACTTTAGACGTTTCCTTACAGTCTTTTTCTGATGACTTTGTATCTTCATTGTCCTGAAAGAAGGAGATGCCTATAAAAACAAACAAGGATTCCAGTGTTGATGTATATAATAATAAATGTATTACTTAGAGTTTCTATATCTCTGCTGTATTTAAAAAACAAATTTCTGGTCTGAACAGATTTTTATGTGCTACAATTCGGCATTTCAATTCCTCTTTAAAAATGGTATGAAGCCACCAGCACTGAGGGACATCTGCAGATGTTCCAGCCTGTATTCATCCAATCACAGCTCTTGCTAGATATGAGATATGGGGTTCTGAGGAGGGACATGGCTCAAAGCCACATGAACTGGATGAACCACCCTCTCAGTCTGGATTAGTCCAAGGAGTGTCCATAGATGGGGCCAAAAGAATCAATATTAAATTTTTTAAACACCCCCTTCCCTCCATAGACGCTCCTGATTAGACCCATGAGTCAGAGTTTGCTCTTCTCTATATTTCTCCCTCATTTTAATCTCATCTTACTTTTGGGTGTCTTTTTTGGTTCTCATTTCTCTTTCACCTAGTCTTATATCTCTGAGTATAATCTGATTTTGCAAAGATTATTTTGATCTGATGAGTTTCTACATTGTTTCAATCTTAATTTTCTCTCACTTTTTTTCTTTGCATATGTGCACTAGATTGTGATTTAGCATCACATGACAGTCTCAATGGCTGCCAACTTAATACTATGCATAAGGCTAAGAGTTACATTTAGAAAGAAACAGTAATATTATGATTAAATCTTTGGCACACTGACCACGAGTCTTGATGTTTTGGAGAACGAAGTAGAGGTATTCACCACAAATTCCTGCAGCATTTAAAAATTCATCTTGGGTCATACAACATAGCTGGTGACCATTTATGTTGAAGTGGGAAAAGGAAATGCAGTTAGCATCCAGTTTGTATTGATCACAGCAAAACTGTAGCCACTCCCAGACGTTGTGTCTCGTCCAGTATTCTGGATGCATGGATGTCCAGGAAGAATCACAAGCTGTCATAATATCATGAGAAAAAGACCCTGTAGTTAAAGTTTGAACAGCTCAGTTGCTTAGTTTGAACTGACGGAGTTTTAGCAGATCAACTTCTGAAGCCACAGATGTCCACAAGGATGCAAGTGACAAAAGGTGCATTACAATACAATGTCAGGATGCAAAGCATGCCCCGTAATACTTGCATTAATATTGCAATACAAGAATGAAGGGATAAAGCTTGCATTGTAACTTCACATTGCTCATTTAATCATTGCACATTTAATTTAACTGCCATTATTGTAGTTAGGAATGGATGTCTATATCTGAAGCCATGCTACCAAATGCTGTTTAATGTCAGCTCAGGCTAACAATGCCACCTGTTACATTATTGTATGATTTGGTGACAGCACGCCACATTTATGAGATAGAAGGATGACTGTTCTTTAGCTGGGAATCTCTCTTTGGGTTGGCATCAAATGGAAGAGAAAGATTGTACAAAAAAGTATGAGATACAGAACTGGAGAGATGGGACAAGGTAGAAAGGAGTTAGCACTTGGACATGGATATTTTTCATATTTTCAGACTACTTGCCAGTACAATTTTCAATCTCTTGTGGTAATGAGTATCACATTCTTTAAGAAATTATTTACTAAATTTATACAGCTATGCCATAAGACAGATAGCTTACAAAAACAAAGAAGGTAAGCATGGAAAAGGGTTTTTTAAAAAGATGTTATAAAGTTTAGCAAATGGCCACTATACCTCTGAAAAAAATATTTGCATGAAATGTTGGGAGCAGTCAAAACAATTGCCTGAATTGTTGGATGTACAATTAAGGCAAGATGCTGGTTTCCATCACATCCTGCACATGAGCTTCTTTGAAAGCTCTGTTCAGATGACAATATTGCTCGTCTGCTTTCCTTCTTTCTCCTGACTTCCATGTTTTGATCAAAACTTCTGTTGAAAGACTAAGCACATTCCTGCTTCTTAAGTCATGAGCTATTTATCCAGTATCAGGGCTGGAGACAAAATAACAAACAAAATAATCTGTATTTGAATCTAGCCATGCAATCTTTATGCCCTTATGTAACAACATTTATTAACCTAGTAGTATTTACCTATAGAGACAAGAAAGTGTTTGTGTCTTTAAAAATGGTATGAAGCCACCAG